CCTTCGTACCTCTGGTCTGGGTCCAGATGGGGAAGTAGCCTCATGACTGTGTCATGCAGATGCAGCAACACTTGCAGTATGATGGCGTGGGGCCATCGCCTGCCCAGGGGCAGCTCTGGCTCCATGCCAAAAAAAGGGGTCTAAAACAGAAAAACCTCCAAACAAAAAACCTGCTGGTGTGTCCCAGGAAGCTGAGCACTCCAAACCAGCACTGCAATGCCTTGCTTACCTCCTAGCGGGACAGCAAAGGCAGCTGCAGAAGCAGAGCAACGGGTGTTCAGGAGTGTCCCTTTAACCACGTCTCTGCAAAGGGCAGGCAGGCAGCAGCACCCGGAAGGAAATGCTGCCCCCATGCCCTGGCAGAAGCGGTTCCGGGTGGCTTTTCATTTCGAAAGAGCATCCAGCAGTCAGGACGCTCTTTTTAGAAAAAGCGGATCGATTTTCCGATCCGCGTATTGTAGTCGAGACGCGCTCTTTCGAAAGAGGCTTGCAGTCTAGACATAGCCTGTTTGTTTTTTTCCTGCTGCTGGGAATGGAGGGAGGAGATTGCCTCAGGGAGGAGATTCCAAGTGATTTCTTCCCTGGAAAACAGCTTATTTATATTTATATTGACACTTGGTGGGTCTCAGGGAAACTGAGACTGGACAAGTTTGTCTCTGGGGCTGTGTCTAGACTACACCTCTCTGTCGACAGAGGGGTACAGTCTAGACATAGCCCGGGAGTTACAGAGACAGGTTCTTCTCTTTAATTAGCCCATCAGCTGTAGCTCAGCTTTTAAACTGATCCTCTAATTAGGTACCAGTTAATTTATATTGATGGCAATTTGAGTGATGGGGTACTGAGTCAGCTCCTGACTCAGCACCATTATTACACAGCCTTAGTTTATTAGGACTGCATTTGCCAACTACTTGATGTTCCCATTAGGTACCCTGATTTTCAAAGATTGTTGATTTTAATTTACGTTAAGCTGACTACCCCGGGGTTCGTTGTTAAATAGCTGTTAGTTAGATGGATCCAAACATAGCATCTCTCTTTAGGTATTGTTCATATCCTTGGTGAAACAACCATAATTAATTATTTTATAGAATACAGGTAGCATGTGTCTCTGTTTCTTTGAGCAAGGCTGAAACTTCAGTAATCTTTAGATGACTTTAGACTTGATAGTATAAAAATATTGGGGCATCATATTTTTGAAAGGGCTCATTATAGTGCTTGAAATATAAAAAGTGAGGATTTGCATAACTTGAGTATATACATTACAAAAGTATTCAATTTTAAGTGTTCTACTGATCTGTTCAAAACAGTATACCTTTAGCCTATGTCTGTATCTCTTCACTGAAATTCTGGCAACAGCATAACAACAAAGCCTTGTTCTTTAAACTCAAATTCACACCGCATGTATTGGACGTCAAAAAGCATGCTCAGTCTTCCACTTATAAGTTTCCTTCCCTTAAAATAAAGTAGGAAATCAAGGGATATTCTACTGATTTACTGTAACCTTCCAGGGAAGAAAAGTCCCCTGGAAACTAATGTAAAAATAAAATGCCACCAAATATCCATTAATTCAGAATTCACCCTCTCCTGGCCCCGAAACTTTTCTGTTCTGTCTCCAGTGTGGCTGCTGCTAGTTCGTAGCAGCAAGGACAGAATTGTGGGGGAGGGGAAGGAGAGAAGAAGTAGGTGTAGTTGGCATTCTTCAGTGCAGTGCAGCAACCTGCTGTGTTGTGCCCATTGATAATGGAGGGCTGATAAGCATCTCATGATTAGACTTCTTAGACTATGGCACATGTACTGGTGGCATGTGAACTTGATAATTCCAGCTGCTTAACCATACTTTAAGAAGATGGTACTTGAACCAATACAGTTTGGGAGCCACGGCTCGGATTTCCATTGATTTGGAGAGAGGCAGAGAACTGGTCATAAGGAAATTGAAGTGGATGATGGGTGTTAATGAAGGACCCAGTCATCCTGTTTTATTCAGCATCAGGGAAAGGAGGGAAACTATTTTTAATTGGCACCTGGTCTGGGGTGTCAGCCTTTATTTGTTTTTACTTTTATATCTCCTGTGTGTCATCTGTCTGCCAGGCTAACGTGAAAAATTAAGCTACCTATTTAAAAAATCCAATACGGATTCAAAATTAACCTTTAAAAAAGCCTTCAATCTTTCCTGTTCTATCACTGATCCTCATTAAGAGTTAGTGTCCTAAATAATGGAGGGGAGGGGAGGCGTTTAAAGGATGTTCTGTGTAAGCATTATTTGTTAAAAAGATACAAGTTTGAAATATATGCCAACTTAATTGTTCGAACTATGAAGTTTTGAAATACATTGGGATTTTCCTTTTATACGCTCCTGTTGTGTTTTGTGCTATAAGAGTGCAATCTTAGAATGTACAGTTATGACCACCTCTAATACCTAGGCACATAATTGTTTCTTTCCTCTAAATTTTCATTCTCTAGTATAATTGAACTTGTTCGTTATAGGCTTTGTGTCCTTTTTTTCTGTTTTTCTTTAATATGGTTATTTATTACATCAGTGTGTGGGAAACATGACCTAAATAAAACACATCCTGTGCCACTGGAGTGTGTCTTATGTTCTAGATCGCGCTCATATCTTTTTTGACCTTTTTTTTTTTTGTCTTTTTCTCTTTAGAAATTTGACATGCATGATGGAGGTGGAAAAAGGATGAAAAACAAGCTGACATACTGGACAAAGGTGAAGAAGACGAATGTTTAGTAGAACTTTATTATGTTTGGAACCATGTTCTAAGTAATTCTAGACAAATTTCATAAATATTCTATACATCTCCAGAGACTGTTATGACTGAAAATTTGTCTCGTCCACAACATACACTGGAAGAAGCTTGCATGGAACCTAACATTTGCTTTAATTCAGAGTATGTGAAAAAATTATAGATTTCTACCTATTATTTATTAATCTTGCATCTCAGTTCAGCCACGCCAAACCCGTCTTTAAAGTGACTAGAAACAGAGCTTTTGTGGATACTTGTATTGAACATGACTCATGGAGAAGAGCTTGGCTCTGAGATGCACCAGGATTCTGTTGTTCTAACTTACTTAGAGGGATTACTAATGCATCAAGCAGCAGCAGGCTCAGGTACTGCCATTGACAAAAAGCCTACAGGGCAGAGTGGTGAGGATCAAAACTTTAAGAATTCAGGAAATATATTTCCCAACTGTCAAAGTAATGGTCCTGTTCTTAACACACATACATATCAGGGATCTGGCATGTTGCATCTCAAAAAAGCAAGACTATTACAGTCTTCTGAAGACTGGAATGCAGCAAAGAGAAGGCGGTTGTCTGATTCCATTGTGGATTTGAACGGGAAAAAAGAAGCTTTGTTAGCTGGCATGGTTGAAAATGTGCCTAAAGGCAAACAGGATAGCACATTACTTGCCTCTTTGCTTCAGTCATTCAGCTCTAGGCTGCAAAGCGTTGCTCTGTCACAACAGATTAGGCAGAGCCTCAAGGAGCAAGGGTATTCCCTCAGCCATGATTCTTTACAAGTGGAGAAAGATGTAAGGTGCTATGGTGTTGCATCTAGTCGCTTGAAAACTCTGCTGAAGAAAAGAAAAGCAAAAGAACAAAAGCTGGACACCACTTTGCCTGATGCAACAACGAACCTGCCTAAGGAGAGGTTTGTAGAGTCTCCACATACAGGGCAGAGTGGACCCAAGGCAATGAATGAACCTCTGTCATGTGCTGCAAGATTACAAGCAGTTGCAAGCATGGTAGAGAAAAGATCTAGTCCTACTGCTTCGCCTAAACCTAGCATAGCTTGTAGTCAGCTAGCTTTACTACTTTCAAGTGAAGCTCATTTGCAGCAGTATTCCAGGGAACATGCTTTAAAAGCACAACATGCAAATCAGGTGGCAAGCGAGAGACTTGCTGCCATGGCTAGATTACAAGAAAGTGCCCAGAAAGACCTTGGCCATTTCAGTCTATCAAAAGGAATGCCAAGCCATCTGAATGGAGAAACGAGATCGTCAACCAAAATAACAACAAACAAAAGCAATATGGCACCATTTCAGAGCCCCGTTGGAATCATTCATTCTCCTCCCAGAAATGTAGGATATAAGAATGCATTGGAAAAGAACCATTTAAAACCATCTCCTAGCAACAGTTTGCTTTTACATCTTCTCAAAAGTCAAAATGCTACAAAACAAACCAAAGGGCATGAGCAGAATGAGAGAGTGGGTGTTTTTGAGGACCGTAGCACACCAACTACTGTGGATGAGTATTCAGACAACAATCCCAGTCTTACAGAAGATGAGAGCAGTGATGATGAAAGCTCCCATTCTAACTGTCTTCCTATAGATTTATCTTTCAAACAGAGGATAGACAAACAAGATTCTGGACTGCCTGCTTCTCTAGATAATCTGACTCGGCCATTATTGCATAATTGGGATCCAAAAATTCCATGTCTAGAGAACAGTATGGAGAATAAAGAAGATAAAGGCACTCCTAGAGATTCAAAACTGAATCCACATCAGAAAGTAACACTGCTTCAGTTATTACTTGGGCATAAGAGTGAAGAAAACAAAGAGAAAAATACAGACACTCAGGGACCACACGGTGTAGCTGATGTGGCAAAATTTACTGTACAAACTGATAAGAGGACTCCTGTGACAGAAAGTCCCACTGCGAATCGAATAACTCCATTAAGCACTCCTCCTTTACTTATTTCTACGAAAGCAGACTCTCCTATAAATCTCTCCCACCAATCTTCTCTAGGAGTCAAACGCAATTCACCACCATATGCTTGCAACATCCAGCCAGAGGGGCTCTTGAATCCAGCATCTAAACATTTGATCGATCTTACAAAAAATAAAGAACTTCAAGGAACTAAACTAAACAGAAATGAAAGTGCACAAAATTCTGCTGCTTTCAGTGCCAGCAAGCTGTTGCAGAACTTAGCTCAGTGTGGAATGCAGACTTCCATTTCAGGTGAAGAGCAAAGAACCAGCAAACAGCTGCTACCAATAAATACGGATAAACCAATAGGGTTGATTGATAGATTGAACAGTCCTTTAATCACAAATGTACCAGGTAAATTTGAAGAAAACAAAATATTCAGTTGTCATTCTACATCCACCGAACAAGGACTTCCCAGTTCAGAAATAGAAAATCTCCTTGAAAGACGCACTGTCCTTCAGTTGCTGCTGGGAACCCCCACTAAAGGCAAAAGTGAAAAGAAAGAGAGGATGCTTGTAAAAGATGAAAGTTCAAAAGAACAGGCTTTGAGTGAGCAAATATTGACAGTAAAAATAAAAACCGAACCTTGTGAAGAATCAAATACGCCTCCTAATCTAAATGCCCAGCCAATAACAGAACATAAGGGTAACAGTTTTCAAGGGATAGTTCATTCAGTGCAGAGAAACATAGGTGCCTCTCCCATGTCTGAGGACTTGAAACCTGAGCCTCGTTTGCCTGATGATTTTTCTTTTTCAAAAAATGGCTTGTTAAGTCGATTGCTGAGACAGAATCAAGACAGTTACCCTGTGGATGATCTGGACAGAAGTCACAGAAATAGTGAGCTGACAGTTCTAGACTCAAAGAGCCTTTGCACCATTCCTAAGAAGAGAAAGTTTCATACCGAGCCTTCAGAAAGTCCATTAAAAAAGGTAAAAAGCAATGTGCCCGATGCTTCGAACAATCCAATTTCTCCTGCAGAGGCATTGTATCGGCCTTTGCTTAACCAGCAAGAGCTGAAATTCAACAGAAGTGATCTTGAATTTAAATATGCTGCAGGTCAGGGTTCAAATAATGAAAGTGAAAATAGGAGTTGGTCTAGAGATAGTAAAGGCTTTAATGTGTTGAAACAACTGCTTCTCTCAGAAAACTGTGAGAGAGATTTTCCACAGCATAGGAATAGTGCAGTAACAGAGGGCAAGAAGAAAGGAAATAAAAGTAATGTAGCAAATAATAAACCTGAATTTAATGTTTCTGCAATAAATGCCTTCATGGGAAATCCTGTACAACCAATCAGTTGTGTAGATCACAGGACATTTCAGTATCCAGTAGCAATGAAGAGTCCTACAAGTTCCCCGTTCTCTGAACATTTGGGATGTACAGTATCTAGACCTGAATCTGACCAATTTAGTGTTTGCCCCATCCCTGGTGAAAAAGGCCCTATCAGATGGGTTATCACGGGAATGGACAAGGGTGAATATGAAAAAGCCTCCCCAAGACTGACCAAAACCAATCCGATATTGTATTACATGTTACAGAAAGGAGGCAATTCTGTTAATAGCCAAGAAGCACATAAGGACATTTGGAGTGAACCTTCATTTATGGAAAATTCAACTCCTGTTACAATCAAGGAGGAGTTATTACCTGACACTGAACCTAAAACGCCTCTACATAATGTAAGAAGCCCTTACAATAGCCATATGGGGAATAAGAGCTCCCATAAACATAATGTGAATGGGGACGTGTATGGACTCTTGGAAAAAGTGCTAACAATCAAAAAAGAACCAGAGTGAAATATATAGCCAACACAATGAGTTTACAGTCAGTGGGTTTGAATCTGTGTATTAAAAAAAAAAACTGTATAAACTGAGCATGATTTGAGAAAAGCATGGTCTTGTTGAATCATATTTTCATTTGAGAAATTTTGTTTTTCTGGTGATATTTAAAAACATGTAGATATGTTTGCTTTACAGTAGATAGTCGCAAGGAAACTGTGAGTTGTAAGCTGTACAAGACACAATTCTGTATGCATCAAACTAAGTTATGAATAGTCTGTGACTGGATCCTTATTGGAGCCACAGGTATTTAGGTATAAAATAAAATGGAAGCATACAGCCGAGGTGGTGGTAATGCATTCTGCTGCATTTCATTCTTTCCATGTAGTATATTCCTTTGTTTGCTTGTTTGTTTGGCCATTTGAGCATAGAGACCATGTAAGAGTTGATGTTTTTTTTTAATGTTTCTGAAATTAAGAATTTTGTAAGAAATGGAACAGTCCATCCAGGGTACATTACATTTGGTAATCTATGTCAGTTAATCAAATGCACTGAAATGTAATTTTTAGTGCTTCCAAATTGTGTTTTATTATTTTTGTAGTCCTCTCCAAATCATGGTGTGATGTCGTTTTGTTTTGTTATTTCTCCTCCCACTTGCTTTTGACTAGAGCATTCTGCAGGACCCAGAGTAGTACTCATAAAATAGGGTTATGATTAAACATTTGTTTAGGTTTTCCTAACACTTGATACAAAAGGCAGATTTTCATCTGCACTGTAATAAAAAAGTGGGTCTTTTTTGTCCACTTTTACTCTTCTTTCCCCTGCCTTGGCCCAGGTCTGCAATGTATATAGTGTTGTGCCAACTATACGTCTGCGAGTGTGAAAAATCCACTCCCCTGAGCAACATAGTTAAGATGACCTAACCTCCGGCATAGACAGGGCTAAATCAGTGGAAGAATCTTCCAGCAACATAGCTACAACCCTTCAGGGAAGTGAATTAATTATACTGATGGGAGAAACTCTCCCAGTGGTGTAGGAAGTGTTCTACATTGCACTTGTGCTATGGTAGACGATAATGCAGACCTACCCTTATAAAGGGAAGATAAAAAAGCATCTTAGAATTTTGGGATTGAGACTTGTCCTCGTGGCCAGAAAACTGTCATTGATTCCAGCTTATGGAACACATAAGCAATTTTTTTTCAGCACCATATTGCTTTCTGTCAAAAGAACAGTTACTGTGTTCATACAATACATATTTCATATTTCAATGGAAATTATAGTATGTTGGTGGAAAACATGATAGGTCTTCCTATGAATAGAGCCTCATGTATATCCTGCCAGTATTTACTTTGTGAGCAACTGATCTGTAGTTAAAACACTGGCCTTTCATCTCTGAACACCTAGATTCAGAACAGTTTGTTAGATGTCACTCTGGTTTTGTTATATTCCATAGTGGGTAGTGGACTACATCTCCAAAATGGCCTGTCTCTTCTCTTCCTCTGCCTCCACCCTATATTTTGTAATGTTGGCACCATTGGTTCAAAATCAGTCTTGGACTGGAGTAGTGGAGAGTTGTAGATTAAAATTGAGAAGCATTAGAAGTGGCATTATGTGGGGAAAGTAAGGACTGCACACTTTCCCAATGTCCAGTATGACCCCTAAGGAATGCCAAACTTCTGTAGAAAAATGTGAAGAACTACTTCTCCCATTCCTCCCAAAACAAAAATAATTACTAATAACACGAGTACTGTGGATCACGTATTTTTTTCATTGAAAATGCCCTGTGTTATGAACAAAACCCTATAATAGCTAGATAATGAAAGTTGTAGTGTCTTAAAGAATGCATATTTGACAAAACAACCAGGAGTCCTTTGGCACTTTAAAGACTAATAGATGTATTTGGGCATAAGCTTTTGTGGGTAGAAATCACTTTGTGAGACGAGACTCCTGGTTGTTTTTGTAGATACAGACTCACACTGCTACCCCTCTGAGACCTATTTGATAGTGTCCTATACAAATCATCCCAAAAGATATATAATTACAGAGGGGCTAAAAGATACATTTGTATATTGTCTGGGTGGTGTTTAATATATTATTGAGCTGTGTAAAGAAGATATGTATTTAAAAACCTTCATGAGTCTAATATTGTTTTAAATTGTATTATCACTAGCCTGTTTTCAGTTCAGTAAATTACCAAAAAGTTTTTCTCTTTAATAGTTAGCATTTACAATAAATGGCCTGCTGACAAATGAAATTTATCCTAGAAATTAAATGTTAACAAGGTAAACTATATTTTAAATTATTGCCATTGGAGTTGAATGTTTTTATATGAATCAGCCTGACACAAATATTAGAAAAAGATGGTATTTGTTCCATCCATGAAACCTGTCTCAAAGTCTTAAGTGATTATTTTTCTTGAAATTACATATGTATAGAGCTATGAAATATAGAAACATAGTTCCTAGAATAAATACAAAGTTGTAATTCACTTGTGGGGCACTGCTTACTTCACATACAGTAGGAGTCAACTTGAATGAAGTAGATATGGTTGGAAAACTTCTGACAAAATTCTGTTGAAAAATGAGGGAACATCAAACTTCACTGTTTTCTAACCAATTCTAGCAAGGAGTGGCAAGGAAGCCCATAGTGGGTGCTTACCTTTGTATTCATTTTATGGTAGTCAGTTATTGTTTATAATATATAGTTCTTGTTTTTTAAAGCTTACATGGCGTTTAAGTTAAAATGTTAACTGTTTTAACCGTGAACATTTTAGCTTTCCTTTTAGATGAGGTTAATGAAAGAGGATTGCAACTCTCAAATGTCAAGAGTTACAATACGGCAAAATAACATTTTAGAACATGTTGACAGAAAGATCTCACCAACTGCAAGATTTGCAACAATGGTCAGTAAGACCCTAGAAAAGAGATGAGGGCATTCTGCTGGTACACAGTTCCTGCTAAACTGGTTATTTAATACTATTCATTTATCCACTGGGTGAGGGGGATATTATCTATTAGCTTCCTCCAGTGTAATACCAATGTGATTCTTGACCAGCCAAGGGAATTTTTAAATATGGTTTGCCCCCATTCATATTGGTAAACTGAAACCAATTAGCAAGGTTTATCTTAACCTAAAAGACTTGATATCCTCTCTGTTAACTCTCACCCAAGAGTTACAGGGGAGATCACCAAAATTCTCCTTATGGGATTTCTCTTCCCAGTTGTTCCATCAGACGTCATGCAGGGGTAGGGCTTGCTTCACCCTCAGACTATTTGCAGCCCTGTCCTCCAGTTGCAGCAAGTCCCCAGATTCTGGAATCTGCATGGATTCTGAAGGATCAGTACTAGTTGAAGGTCTGTACAGAGACTCAGTTTGTACGCTTTCTCACAGCTCTATAGCCTTAGCAATCCTCAGCTTCATGGCTCAGTAGAACCTTTCTATCTGGACATATACAGCTTGTGGCTTTCTCCACTACCATCTTCAAATGGGGATTCCCAATTGTGGAAGTGAGGGACAGAAAGCAGTACATCTTGAGGTTGCAAATTGGCACTCTAAACCTGTATGAAAGGAGCTTAAATAATCATACCCTGGATGGGAATACTAGGTTAGGAGAAGGGAGCAGGTTTGGTGAATACTGCTGAGGGGCCTAACAAACCCCAGGTTTGCAGCACAATGGGGGAAGGAGGACTTGTGCTGCACAATATTCCTGTTAAGCGGGGTGGAGAGTGCCCAGAATTGCACTGTCTCCGTAAGAAATGAGGTGTGCGGGATTGGGGGCAGAGTTGCTGTTTCTGGTTTCATTTCTGCCTCAGTTTTAGAAGTATAAACAACTAAGGTACATGTGACCATAAAAGAATCAAGGCTAGGGAAGCTTCCGCTGATGCTAAACCATCATTTCAGGTGGAACAGTTTAAGAACATCAGAAGATTGAAAGGGAATTCAGCCATATTTTTCACTTGTTTAGCCATCTCTTGTTTATAACATTTTAAAATGCTTAATTTACAATTTAAAAATAAAATAAAGATATGAATGATTTAAAATTTCCCTGCTAAACATTGTCAATGAAAGAGTACTACAGCACTCATTGATGTCTGTGAAATATTACCAGTTTTGTTCTCTGCAGCATCTTACAGAAGAGTAAACTGGTAAGTATATATTATATATATTTATATATGTAAATAAATTGACTTGTTAAACATATACTGTTAAAATTGGTTTTTAAAAGGTGATGTAAATAGTGATTTCCTTAATGAAAAATACATATTTTGTATTGCTCTAATGCAAAAGAAAAAACCTTTTAATCTTTCTTTTGGTTATGTATATTCTATGTACAAGTGTAAATATGATCACATAGGTTTAAAAACTTTTGCATGTAAGTATACAGTTGCAAGTCTGGAAGAATGTATAGAAAATACCTTTAATTTAAAGTTGTGATTACCTGCTGCATGAAAAGTGCATGGGGGACCCTGTGCATCTGTGCATTGGCAAAAAAGTCTTAAGTCAGGTCAGTTCATCAAAACACAACAGTATTCCATTTCTGGACATGACTTCTTCTGTGGTATTTTAGCTTTGTGAAAGAATGTGCTTCAAATCAAAAGGGTCTGGAAAAAAAAACCTCAAAACTACTTTTAAAGCATAAAGAACTCACACAACTGTAATCGGTCATACATTTTTTGAACTCCATTTACAATAATTGAGATATTGTACCGAGAGTATTTCGCCATTGCAAAACAATGGAATGACAGTTCTCATTGCCATACATAAATACTGGGGTTTACTGCAACCAAGTTTGTTGTGATGATGTGTTATCAGTAATATAGCTGGTCTCATTTTTTATTAGCAATTAATTTCTTCATGTGATGTCACAAAACTTGTACATACTGCAGAGTGGAGTTTTTTAAAATCTTTCAGTGTTTACTTCCTGCAGAAAATTTGAATAAATGAGAAAAATGCATTGTGTTCATGGTTTTTTAAATCTACTTTTATGTGTCCTTTCTTTGTATTGAGTCTTTACAGTCCAATAGCACTACGTAATTTTGTAAACTTTCAGCAGCCAAAAATGCCTGCAAGAATTCAAAGGACCCCATATCTTCTTCAACAAAATGTGCAGTAAGAAATCAATAAAAGCTAGTAGGAATGAGTGGATACTCAGACTAAGATTCAACATCATTTTTAATTCTGATATCTGTGTAAATGTCCTCTGTAATTGTAATTGTGATGTTATTTCAACAAATGTTAGGTACGGAATATTGTGTTCCACCACAGAATTTTAAGCAGCTACTAGAATAATTTATTGTAGACCTATTGTGTCTAGAGTAGCACAACTGCAGGCAAGTAATTCAGAATAACTTTATACATTATAGATTTTCCTTGCCTGCACTTCCAAACAGGGTGATAAATATTTGTTAATCTAACTCTCAGGAAACGTCATCTGGAAAGTATGACTTCATGGGGGTGATGGATGGATGGATGGTGGTGATAGATCCTTCTTCCATTGAAGTCCATGCAAAATTCCAAATGGTTACAGTGGAATCAGGCCTTTGTTACACCTAACCCATTTCTTGTTTTTAAAGATAACAAATCACTTAAATTAGAATGATTTTTAGGAGCCTAAGAGTTATGTGCCCAAATCCCATTGAATTGAATGGGATTTGGGATCTTACTCCCTGATGCGACTTCGCAAATCTTAGCCTCAAACTACATGTGCCTAATACTGCCTCTGAAATATACCCATGCTTTGAGCTGAACAGCAACAGGAAAGGAGGGGAAATTGGATAGCCAGGGAAGGGAATGGTGGTAAGGATCAGTTGGTGAGGGCTAACAGGCCTGTTCCTTCTGGCATTAAATCCCTTTCAAACTCCTAGGGAGACAGTAATCTCTAATCATCTGTAACAGAGAGATTCCTGCCTTTCTTTTATACCTTCCACAACTTTTGCCAGGGCCACTCAAGATATTTAACTGAGACAGTGCTTATCTTCAGAGATTCTTCTTCATCATTCTACACGGTAGCCATTTTCAAGAGGTTCACTGATAATTGTGTTCATCTCATTACCAGTGAAGTTGGGCCTCCTTTTAGTTCACTCCTGTCCCTTTTTCTGTCCTAAACGCCATTGCTTCCATCTGTCCAAAACCTGTTTCTGTAGCCATTCTGCATGCTCTGGTTAGAGAACTCTAAAATATCTCCCCACTTTTAGTTGCATGTCTTTTAGCATGCATACGTTACTAGTAAGTGGTAATTGTTGATTAGCACATGGAAAAATTCTCCGTGTGTGGGTTTCCATGTCTCTTTGAGTGCACAAAATGTACCCATGAGAGCTGTAAATTATGGGAGCTACTTGTGTGTGGTCCTTTTCTGGGTGCTCAGGTGTTCGTGTACTACCAGGCCTCGAGAGAATTTCCTGAATATGTTGTGGCCGAGATGGCTAATAACATCTTTTGATACACAGAGGAATCCTGAGAAGCAATAGACAGATTATTTTTCCTCTATTTAGCACTGATGTGGACACTGCTAGTATAATGAGTTCAGTTTTAGTGTTGGCAGTTGAAGAAGGATGTTTATAATAGGGTTCAGAGAAAAGCTACTGGAATGACTGAAGGATTAGAAAACATGCCTTAAAGTGATAGATTTCTCTTAGAGTAACTTGAATACAATCTGTAACTACCAATATTGGGAATAAATGCATGGTGATGGGCTCCGCAATCTAGCAGAGAAAGATATAATACAGTAAAATGCTGGAAATTTGTTAGACAAATTTGGGCCACAAATAGGGTAAATTTTTAGCAGAGTAACCAACCATTGGAAGAGTTTTTACCAAGCATCATCATGGATTCTTTATCACTAGCAATTTTAAATAAAGATAGGATTTAAAAAAAAATCCCACTTGAGTTAAAAAGGAATTATTTTAGAGATTTTCCTGTTAAGCAAGAGATCAGACTAAATGATCAGAATGGTCCCTTCTGGCCCTGGAATCAGCATCTGAGGCTAGCAACACACAAATGGATTAAGTTCAAGAATCACTGTCAATTTCTAAGTAATATACAGCTTTTTAATAGTTCTACCAGGAATGCTTTACCACTGACATGGCTCCTTTAACACATTTGTTGCTGCAGATGCCCAAATTCATGCAGAAGCCTCTTCCACATTCACAACCAAGCTAAATAGCGATAGAAATGTAGCCGTGTTAGTCTGTTGTAGCTGAAACAAAATACAGGACTATGTAGCACTTTAAAGACTAACAAGATGGTTTATTAGGTGATGAGCTTTCGTGGGCCAGACCCACTTCCTCAGATCAAATAGTGGAAGAAAATTGTCACAACCATATATACCAAAGGATACAATTAAAAAAATGAACACACATGAAAAGGACAAATCAAATTTCAGAACAGAACGGGGATGGGGGGGGAAGGTAAATGTCTGTGAGCTAATGATATTAGAGGTGATAATTGGGGAAGCTCTCTTTGTAATGGGTAAGATAACTCAATTCTTTATTCAGACTCAGGTGTAAAGTGTCGAATTTAAGCATGAATAACAGTTCAGAGGATTTTTTCAAGTGCAGTCTTAAAAGGCTTTTGAAGCAGGATGCAGGTAATTAAGTCATTGAGAGAATGTCCTTACTGGTTGAAATGGCAAGTAACTGTTTTTTCTTTGTGAGCCTGTCTAATATCTGTTTTGTGGGCATTGATTCTTTCCTAGTGTGTTTAAGACACGTTAATCATAACCATCAGTGATCTAGTGTTCTGTGAAATAGTAGTACTGTATTTTCCGGCGTATAAGGCGACTGGGCGTATAAGACGACCCCCTAATTTTCTAGTTAAAACATAGGTTTTCGCCTATACTCGCCGTATAAGACTACCCCCCCTTAAGAGGCCAACCGACAGTGCCCCAGCTGCTCTGCCCCAGGGTCCACAACAAAAGCCTGGTCTGCTGGGGGGGGGGTCGCACATTAGATTGTTGTCTATAGGAGACTATGGGTCTGTCTCCCAGAGCCTCTTTGTTTCAACCAAGCTAAAGTGATCTTTACTGCCCTGCAGGAGTGCATCCTTCCTCTTTCAAACTCCAGGAAGCATATGACAGATGAGTGAGCTGCTCCTTTTGGGGAACAAATAATTTGGAATGTTTCTCTTCTGTCCAGACAGCTGCTGCTCCAGAGGGAGGACTGGAGATACTGTTGTGCTGTAGAGCTCTCAGCACAGAGAGCTCACAGAGCTACAAGGGCGTCCCAAGAAACAAAAGGGATCAGCTTTGCCTTTACACAACAATTCACTGTGGGATTCTTACCGACATTGCTTTGTTCTATCTGTGGAAGGTGCTAGCAATGTGGCATCAAATGCCAACAACGGGAAGCAGGAAAAGCAGTTTGACCGGTTTTCACTTCTGGTGACTTTTGCATGTTGACAGCACTTTTAGTTGCTAAACTTTCCCAGTGAAGACACAGCCTAGTCCTTGCTACAATAAAGCTTTTGCTTGTTGGGGATAGGAGGCTGTTGAGCACTCATGAATGACACAAGTTTTGTCACTCAATTGCTAAAGCCTGAATGCCTACCCAGTGTGGAAGAAGAGTGGAAATATTTTAAAAGTGCAAGTACTACTCACATTTTCCCCTTAAAAGAGTTCGTTTTCTGAGAATCCCATCCTGGCCTCTCTCATCTTCTGCAAATAGCCCAGCATGTGATTTCTTCAGATCACACAGGACATCTGTAGCAAAGCCAAGAAAATAACCCTGAGTACTTGTGCAGTGCCTTAACTCCATGACTGTCAGGAGTCCAGAGTCATCCTAAAGACTAACAAATTTTATTATGGCATAATGTTTTGTGAGCTGCAACTCACTTCATTAGATGCATAAAGTAAAAGAAACAGATAGTAGGGATACAGATGTGGGAGCATTACATCAGAGCTAATTCAATCAGGATGGATATAGATAAGGTGAGTATATGTAAAGTGGAAAATTACTCATTGTAATGAAAGCTTCAGAGGGTTAGCTGAGTTAGTTTGTAACTAGAAAAACTTAAACAACAAATAGTCTGGTAGCACCTTAAAGACTAACAAAACATGTAGTTGATATCATGAGCTTTCCTTGGTATAACCCACTTTTTCAGCTGATTGGAGTATTTAAAATCTAGATCCAACAATAAATGGGGGAGGGGAGCGAACAGAAGCAGGAAAAAAGGGAAAAAAGACCATGTTCCAGTAGTTACACCCCCCCCCCCCCACCTTTATTTATTCTTGGATCTGGATTTTTAATACTCCTGTCATCTGAAGAAGTGGGTTGTGCCCATGAAAGTTGATACCACCATCTACATGTTTTGTTAGTCTTTAAGGTGCTACTAGACTTTTCATTGTTTAAATTTTTTATTGTAATGAGACCTTTTCAGTCCCTATTCAAACCCACTCTGACAGTGTCAAATTTGCATATCAATTCAAGCTGGGCAGTTTCACATTGCAGACTGGTTTTAAAGGTAGTGGTGATGTTGTGTGGTGTGTTTTGTTTTTGTTTGTTTGCTTGAGCATTACAGATTTGAAAGTTGCCACTGTGTGTCAGGGATGTTTTCCCACTGTGTTTTGTATGTTACTGTTCTTGATGTCGGATTTGTGTTCGTTCATTCTGTTGCACAGAGAGTCTGATTTGTCCAATGTATATGGCAGAGGGGAATTGCTAGAACATGAGGGTATATATCATACTGATACCTGTGCAGATGAACTAGCTTTTCATGGTATGGTTGGTGTGGTGTGGTGGACACCCTATGATGGGTGTCACTAAGGTAGATATGTGGACAGAGTTGAAAACGCTGTTTGTTTGCAGGGATTTCTTCCAGTTAGTATTGCTGTGGTGGGGTTTGTCATTGATGGTGAGTGTGTGTTTCAGGTTAGGAAGCTGTCTGCAAGAGAGGACTGACTGACTCCTAACTCCAGTGAGAGCAAGGGATGCAAACTGTGTAGTTGGTGGTGCTGCCACTCAGAC